AGATGTGTGTTGTAGTCCCCATGGCTTTCAGAAATCTTACTTGACAAGCTGCGGATTGTCAGCCATCACCTTGTTTACTAGGTTGGCACTTACAGACACCAGTTGTGCACTTTCGTGATGAACCTGACAAAAGAAATATACCTACATGTAGTCACTAAGTAACAAGCCAGGGTTTTGCAAGACAGGTTTGTAAATGAAAATAACTATTGTGCCAGAAAACCAAATGGAACTGTCACATTAGGACAAATAAACTTGCATATTTTTTCGATAATTTCACTGTACAGCTGCTACATATATGTATCTACTGAAGTTTACACCAATCCAGTTGTCATAGAATTGTGCGAAGGCTGTCAAATTGTGTTCTCTTGTTCCTCAAGAACGCATCCTAATTTCGTTTCAGTCTGTCTGCAGCCGTGAGAAATCAAGACTTTTTGTGAAGACTGCAAATTGGCCGCCCTCTAGGTTTTTTTTGTTAGGTGTCCATGCTACGTCATTCTTGTTCTCTTTTGTGGCTTCTTTTGTTGTTTTTCGACATTTTGGGGTATTCTTTGAACTGGTTTTTCACTCTGATTGCATTGGACATAAAAGGGAATGCAGTCCCAATGCAGACTGGAGTGAGATTATTTGGCTTGGCGAAACAAATTACATCATCACAGAGCATGTGTGTACGAGTTGATCGTTCACTATCGCTTGTTTCTAAATTCTAGTAGTTTTGATTCTGGACGGTGAGTGGCCTGTTTAGTAAGGATGCAAGTTGACATGCTTTTGTTACATTACTGGGATGACAATTATTTCTTCTGTTCATGAACAAGACTTTGAATAGCCTTGGCTTTGGGGTGTTAACTGTGGGAACAGCCATATTTCATTGGCTATATTTTGATTACATGTCTTGACCTTAATTAATAGTTCCAATGGCCACAAATAGTTCAGTATCCAGCAAAGGTCAAAACTGAATCAATGGAAGCGTACTCTGAAGCCGAGATCTATAACAGTAAGTCAGAACTAAGGAACAGCAATGTAAATGCTGACTACTTTTAATCATCAGCGGAAATATTCGAATCTTTTGCCAGTCGCATGGAGTTTGTTTACGATACCAGCATAGGAGTGCAAATGTTAGCTGACATTTGTGCTTTGCAGCTTAGAATACTAGATGTAACACAAGTACAATTTAAAAATTGGCCTTCATGCTTGAACTCTACCAGTAAAAGTGAAAATGAGATGTTTAGCATGAATTTTGAAGGCATATGTTCTATCAAACTTGTGAGTTTACCGAAACTGGAGCCGTCACGCAATGTGTCATCAAAGGTCATCAAATTGTAGTTTCAACTTGCTAACACCACATAATCCACAGAAAAATAGTGGCCTTTGTCATTATGTTATATCTGTCTGTAGAACTTCAGCTGTTCACAAAGATAACGATTTGAGCAACAGACAGCTATATAAGTTGTATCACAGGCGTACATGTAGAACGCACTCATAATCTTTGATTACTAGTAATAACAACCTTAAAACGCATGAAAACCAAAAAAGCAGAAATAACCCAAGTCTTGCTTCATATTTTTGCACTAAACATTAAACTTTATGCTCTGATTCCAATCCCTGAGTAAAACAAGTCAACCTTTCCCTACTTTCATTGCTCGAGAAGATTGCCCTGTAACTCCGCTCTGATGACTGAATAAGCAGAGGTTCAATTGCGGCTAGCCTACCTTGTGGAGAACACAAGTGGAGAATATAGGTGTAACTGAGACTATTTAATGCAGATTTGTTAAGTCTTCCGCTGAAATGTCAATGTTTTTGCATTATGACGCTGTCAACATTAATTTTAAGATTTTTGTTGCCATCCTCCTCCTGCCTCCCCTCCATCCCACAGTCTCTCAAATTCCAACTCACTTTTAACTCTGTATATAGAGCATTTATGGAACAAGAATAATAAGACAACAAGAATTATTCTTCACAGAAAATACATCACTCCACTAATAATTTATAATTATCATATTACAATAAAGTGATGTATTTCAATCTGTCATGAAGATGCCTTTCCTTAATCTGTTTACAGAAAGAAAGTAGTCTATGTGCTTCTTTCAATTAAGGTTACAGTATACCTTCAGATCGGCAATTTTCTTCAAATTTGGGTTTTTGGGTCAAAGTAATGGTCAAAAAGTAATCTCTAATTTTTGAAAACAAAATTGACAAAAAACTTAATATTGGCGGAGTAATGGAGGTTTTATGTTATGGCCGGAAGTAAAAGTTCCCTCTTGATTGATAGCCCTATAACATGCATGCAGTCACCTGTGACTACTTTTGCACGAATATTATCTACATCGACACCATGAATTGGCTGGCTCCTCAGTTAATCAGCATCGTTAATCCAAGCATTATTTGTATTAGGTGTAATTCTTTTAAGTTATACGTAAACATGGACTATGGAAAACTCTGTTTACCAGTTCGAAAAAGCGAAGAACGAATGAAAACACATCAATGAGTGAAGAAGTGAAAGTTGGCCTTGCAGATGAAGCTATAGCTATCGTATCAAGTGGGCAAAAAGATCGAGTCAAGAGAAGAGAAAGGTTCTGTAAAAATTTGGGAATTCGACAGTGATAACAGTGATGTGTACAGTGACTCTTTTGTTGAGTCTGATACTGATGAAAAGTCAAACTCATTGAGATCCATTGGAATATTATCCATCATGCATATTTGCTCCACCGCGCATTCTTTTGTTTGTTAATGGTAGTAAATTTTCCAAGCGCTGATTGGCTCAGTGATCTGAGAACCCAGTTGAAGGTGTTTGTGGGTTGAGTTTGTTTGCGAAGCAAGAGATTTTTCTTAGTGCTGTTTTCTCGAATAAATTTTTTCGCTTGAAGCAGACA